TACTTTTCATTCTATCATATCATATAAAAGTCATTCTTATTCAAAAGGAATCATCTTTGGCTAAATAGCTAAATTATATTTTAGAAGAAGAATATTGCTATAAATAGATTCACACTTTTTTTTCCTTTCTTAAATCTAAAAGTCTAGTATAAAAATTCAATAATATAACATTTTTGGGTATTAATATAGTATCTTAATCTATTATTTGCATTTAAGTTTGAATGACCAATAATAACAACAATTAAATAATTATTTTTTATTTAAAAAAATGGGAATCTCATGTTCAAATTGCTAAAATATCTTAAGAGGAATAGAGTATAAATATTCATTAAACTAGCCATCAATAATAAGAGCATTAAAATGACAATAATCAAAAGTTAGATACAGAATAAGTATTTGATTGTGAAGTATGGAACTTTTACAACCTTAGATGGTTTAAGAAAATTGTCTAAATAGTAACAATAACGAATGTAAATGAAAGAAAGTACTTCTTCGATGGTTAACTCTTAAGAATGTAAATAATTTTATATTAATAAATAGAGAATCAAGTAAAAATTAATCTGTGGGATTTTAAAATTTTACTAATTTAGAATAGCTAAATCATCTTAACTGGTCTGGAAAATATGGGTAATTGAATTAAAAGGTAGGAAAATGGATTACAACATGGAAAGGTGAAGTTTTAAGGGATGCAGGTGGATGGTACTCTGATGATGAAAAAAAATAAGGTTTGTGGATTGAACTTACAAAAAATTATAGAAAGTATATTATCATTCAATTATTTAAAAGTTAAGCTGAAGTATACGAATCTGGATATTATCTAGATGATTAAAGATATGGAATGTGGAAGTATATATATGATGAAGAATTAATGTATCGACCAAATTATTTATAATTTAGTGATGCTGGACGTTACAACTTTTAAGGTCAAAAGAATGGAAAATGGACACAATTAAGTGATAGATTTTGCTATTATTCTAAAATCAAATATAATGGTGAATATAAAAATGGAAAAAAGGTTGGTTTATGGAATATTTGGTATTAAGATGAATATAGATATATAAATAAATTGATGTATTTTATTAAGATTAAAACTATTTAAGTGGTGGTGGGTCATATAATGGAGATGGAAATAAAATTGGAAAATGGATTGAGTAGAGTGATGGATTTTAAGGATTCTCATAAATCACTTATATTGGAGACTATAGAAACGATAAGAAAATTGGTAGATGGGATATTTGGTTTAAGTAGGGAGATGGTTAGATACATGATATAATGTAAAATATTAAAATTAAATTTTTAAGTGGTGGAGGATCATATGATGAAGATGGTAATAAAATTGGAAAATGGGTTTAATTGAGCGAAGGATTTTAAGAACACTCATAAATCATTTATATTGGAGAATATAGAAAAGGTAAGAAAATTGGTAGATGGGATATATTTGAATTAGGAGAAATGATGTAACAAATATTCATAATTGCATTTTTAGTGGTGGTGGATCATATGATGAATTAGATTCTATTAAGATTGGGAAATGGATAGAGCTGAGCGATTTCTTTGGTATTAGATGGTAAACTACTTATAATGGAGAATATAAAAAAGGAAAAAAAATTAATAGATGGGATATAGAAAAAAGGGATGAAAAAGGAAAGCCCTTTTATAATATGTAAAAATATTAAAAAACATAAATTATTTAGTGGTGGTGGATCATATGATTCAGAACAAGGTTCAATAAAAATTGGGAAATGGTTTGAGTTTAATGATGATTATCATTTAAATTAATACATGACTACAAATGGTGAATATAAAAATGGTTATAAAATTGGAAGATGGGAAACTTTGTGGACAACAGCATTCGATATAATAAATAAATTGATGTAAATAAATAAATTCGAATTTAGTGCTTGTGGATCTTATGATGAGATTAGTTCTAATAAGATTGGAAAATGGATTGAGATTAGCGATAATTTTTGTTCTAATTCATAAGTCACTTATATTGGAGAATATAAAAATGGTATCAAAGTTGGTAGATGGGATACTTATTTTTTAAAGCATTTTGGAGATAGAAAGAATGAATTAATGTATATTTTAAATGATAAATTTAGTGGTGGAGGATCATATGATGAAGAACATGGGTTAATGAAAATTGGAAAATGGATTGNGAACTTACAAAAAATTATAGAAAGTATATTATCATTCAATTATTTAAAAGTTAAGCTGAAGTATACGAATCTGGATATTATCTAGATGATTAAAGATATGGAATGTGGAAGTATATATATGATGAAGAATTAATGTATCGACCAAATTATTTATAATTTAGTGATGCTGGACGTTACAACTTTTAAGGTCAAAAGAATGGAAAATGGACACAATTAAGTGATAGATTTTGCTATTATTCTAAAATCAAATATAATGGTGAATATAAAAATGGAAAAAAGGTTGGTTTATGGAATATTTGGTATTAAGATGAATATAGATATATAAATAAATTGATGTATTTTATTAAGATTAAAACTATTTAAGTGGTGGTGGGTCATATAATGGAGATGGAAATAAAATTGGAAAATGGATTGAGTAGAGTGATGGATTTTAAGGATTCTCATAAATCACTTATATTGGAGACTATAGAAACGATAAGAAAATTGGTAGATGGGATATTTGGTTTAAGTAGGGAGATGGTTAGATACATGATATAATGTAAAATATTAAAATTAAATTTTTAAGTGGTGGAGGATCATATGATGAAGATGGTAATAAAATTGGAAAATGGGTTTAATTGAGCGAAGGATTTTAAGAACACTCATAAATCATTTATATTGGAGAATATAGAAAAGGTAAGAAAATTGGTAGATGGGATATATTTGAATTAGGAGAAATGATGTAACAAATATTCATAATTGCATTTTTAGTGGTGGTGGATCATATGATGAATTAGATTCTATTAAGATTGGGAAATGGATAGAGCTGAGCGATTTCTTTGGTATTAGATGGTAAACTACTTATAATGGAGAATATAAAAAAGGAAAAAAAATTAATAGATGGGATATAGAAAAAAGGGATGAAAAAGGAAAGCCCTTTTATAATATGTAAAAATATTAAAAAACATAAATTATTTAGTGGTGGTGGATCATATGATTCAGAACAAGGTTCAATAAAAATTGGGAAATGGTTTGAGTTTAATGATGATTATCATTTAAATTAATACATGACTACAAATGGTGAATATAAAAATGGTTATAAAATTGGAAGATGGGAAACTTTGTGGACAACAGCATTCGATATAATAAATAAATTGATGTAAATAAATAAATTCGAATTTAGTGCTTGTGGATCTTATGATGAGATTAGTTCTAATAAGATTGGAAAATGGATTGAGATTAGCGATAATTTTTGTTCTAATTCATAAGTCACTTATATTGGAGAATATAAAAATGGTATCAAAGTTGGTAGATGGGATACTTATTTTTTAAAGCATTTTGGAGATAGAAAGAATGAATTAATGTATATTTTAAATGATAAATTTAGTGGTGGAGGATCATATGATGAAGAACATGGGTTAATGAAAATTGGAAAATGGATTGATTTGGGTCATTTGTTTAATAGTGATTCTTAAGTCACATATATTGGCGAATATAGAAGTGGTAAAAGAGTTGGCAAATGGGAGATTTGGTTTGAGCAGATTTATGGAGATAACAAATTGTAATAAGTGTAATATCAAATAATAATTTTAGTGGTGGTGGATCATATGATGAAGAATAAGGATGTATTAAAGTTGGAAGATGGATTGAGTTAAGTGATAATTTTGATGAATATTCATAAATAACCTTTAAGGGTGAGTATAAAAATAGTAGAAAAATTGGTAGATGGGATATTTGGTATAAAAAGTATTATGGAGAAAAAACTATTGGATTAGTGTAAATATGAAATAAAAAATATAGGGGTGGAGGATAATATAATGAATAATAAGGTTTAATTAAGTTTGGATGTTGGATTGATGTATGCGATAGTTTTGCAGCTAGCTAATAATGCACTTTAACTGGCTAATATAAAAATAGTAGAAAGGTTGGAATTTGGTAAATAAATTGCAAGATCTATGATGAAGGTTATGATATTAATAGATGGGTTATTTTTGAATAATGAGCATATTAATATAATTAAATATCTGTGAATAATTATTATTTTTATTTGTTTTTGAAGTTGTCATTTAGAATGTAGGAATAAAAAAACTTAAATAATCTGAACTCTAAATTATAAACAGAAACCCAATTCAAGATTTTATTTATCTGCTACTTCGACAAGATGGCAACAATTGTTTATTTGCTTAAAATCTTACCAATAGAAGATATTTAAAAAATAGAAATTTCGTTTTAAAAATTGAATTTATTATTTAGATATAATTTAAGATTTTTTTGATAGATCAATAATATAATAATACATTTTATATAAAAGCTGTATCTTTGATATAACTTAGGTAGTTTGGAATTACTAAAATTTATACATGTTACTCATGGAAATTTTTAAAAGCCTAGAAAATTCTATTATTCTATTAAATAGCAGAAATGAAATTATAGGGCAAATTTTGACAGAGGTGAATTAGAAAAATGTTGATTTTTAATTTTTAGATTAGCGAATGTTACAGATAACCTCACTTTTGTAATTTATAGAATTAAATTTTATGGATGAAAAATAATTTTAATTAATACTTTGAATTATCTTTAAGGTATATTGAAAGAATACTCAATATTATTCAAATTAGGATTTTATAAAAAATACTTCCCAAATTACCTATATCATCAACTGATTTTAGTGTATTGTTAGTAATAATTAATTGTTTTAATTTATTCTAAAGTATTTTCGCCACTTAGTAATTAGTTAAACACATAATTTTAAAAAATAGGGTTTGTAATTAATGAATTAATTATTTTGGATATAAAAAATAGTTTTACATAAGAATTCCTTTTGTTAACACATGATCTATATACAAATAATAAATTGTGTGTTATAATTGATAGATCAAACTATTAACATTTTCTCTAAAATACATTCAAATATATTTCATAATACAATTGAAGACTGAATATCATTAAATCGTTATCTACTGATCTCTTAATGTAGATTATAAATAATGATATATATTATTAATGCAGATTACTCTCTTATACAGATACTGAAATAGCCTTAAAGTGAATAGAAGTATTTTCTCACCCAAGCAAAAAATTCTATATGTATTAACAATGATTTGCAAAGCTGATGAAATAGATGATACTTATATATATATAATCAATCAAACTATACTGGGACTGTTTTGTTCAAAAATATAGATGTTAATGGACTATGGCAAATGATACCCTTTCCAGCAAATTTATTATTCATTCATATATTACAAACGATATCATCACTTGTTCACAATTTTTTTGATTTGGATAAAATTTATGATTGACTTAAAGTAACTTATCTTTATATTTCATAATTTAGAATGTTAGTAATTTACTCTTAATATTTGAGAAAAGATATTCATTTTTCCTTTTAATTATTTATTTAATCTATATTGAATTTTTTCTTCTTTTATTTACACTATATGGGAAAAAAGTCCAATTTTTGTTTTAATCTTGGATTATTTTTCAAATTAATTTCTTTTAAAAATAAATAAAAGAGGAAGATATTTATCAACAAATATCAATAAATATTTAATGATCAATCTTTTCTTTTTTAAGATGCTATAATGATTATTATAATCTTAGATCACTTAATTGATCATCAATTATAAACAACCAGACTAATAATTTTATTAATTTCTATAAATTGATTGATTCTTTTATATTGATTTTTATGAGAATTATTATTATTATAATATAATCTACATAAGTCTAATTTTATCATTTAGGAATTTCAACTAAAATAAAGATTTTCGTATTATTTGAGAATTTATTATTTTACATGTGTCTCAATGTTTCTATTAAATCTCTAATACTCTTTTGTTCTCATATAATCAACTTGTGTCCATTTTACTTATAAAAATAATTTATTCTATAAATTTTATATTATCTAAAGTTTTAATGATTAATCCAACATTAAACTATTTCATTATATTAATATATGAAGATAATTTTAACTAAATGAAAATATATTTTATATTCTTTTCATATAATAATTTATTTATCATTCTTTACATTTTCTTATTTGTATTTCTTACGATTTATCATCCCAAGTTATTAAATATTCTCCATCATAACTTAATTATCCATAAATAGCATAAGTACTAAATTCTATAGATTACTCAACAATAAATTCACCATTTTCTTTCTTTCTAATTAAATTAATATTCTTGCCATTCTTATTCACAAGGAGGCATCTTGACTTTAAGTATTATTATGGAAATAAACAAGATTCATTACTTGTACCACAATTTACAGTGATTTCCTTTGTCTTTCTCTATTATTTTTTATTAATGTCAATCTCATATATATGCATTTATTCGTTACAATAAGGTTAGAATGTAAATTAATTATCATTAATAAAACATAATCTATACCCATATTAATTTACTTTTATCTTTTATGTTACAATCCATTTTTAGTCTAATTTTTATTATTCTATTACTAATATTTACTTATCATTTGAACAAGAAATTACTTTATTTTATTGTTCATTCAAACATAATGAATATACACAATTAGAATGATCATTTATACTTTATTAAACCAACCATTAATCCTATTTCATCCAAAATTTAATTGTACTATCATAACTACCTGAGATAATTAAATCATCAGTATTTTTCAACAATAAACAAATTATTGAACCTGAATGTCCATTTAATTTTTATTAACAATTCCATTAATAATGTTTAATCATCTACCATATTATAATTGTATTATCATCACTACCAGATACAAAATTATTTTTATTTTTCATAAAATTTAAAGTATTTACATTTTAGGTATGCTAGCTTAATAATTATATTTAATCAAGTTTCCCTAATATATTTTAAAATACTTTAATGTCCTTAGAACAACCAGCTACTACTATTGATTAGTCTGAATTAAAAGCAATTGCACAACATGTTTCATTTTACTTAATTGAATTTTCAATCATGAGTTCAAAAGTGAATTAATTTAGATTTTAAACTTCTATAATTTATTTCTTTTCTTTTTCTTCTATATATTAATTTTAATTGATTTATTAAATCTCTTTATCTTTTTTTTATATGATTTCCATATATATAGTTTATTCTTTCTTCCTTTATTCAATTTCTTTATCCAATTTTGATTAAAATAATTGAGTCAATTTTTATTCCTTATTCTTAACTTCTGTTTCCACAATACATTTTATTGATGGTTATAATTCAGATATGATTTATTATGTTAGAATAGGATTGATGTAATCATTTGAAACAGTTTTAGGTTATAATATGAAAGGTTAGTTGCTGATGGATTGAAATGATAAATTGGAATCATTAGGTTAAATTGAATCCAAAAGAATTTAATCAATTAATTAGCCTATTTTGTCATAGGATGACTTTGAATCTACTAGATATACTAAAACATACATCAATTTATTCATATACTTCATTGAAATAATCTTTAACTTTTTATTCATAGTTTTCTGCAGATAATGGTGAATTTTAAAAAGTGGACATATTAATTTATTTTTAATTAGATATTATTTTTCCAAGTTCTTTATAATGATTATAATTTCTATTATTTTTATAATATAATTATAGAATATTATAAAATCAATTGATTAATATATATTTAGTTTCTCCTTTAATATATATGGATAATCATATTTTTGAAACAAAAATTCAGATAATACAATTGATTAGTTTGAAAGTCTTCTTACAATTAATTATTTGAGATTTTCTAAACAAAAATATCCTTTTAAAAAATATTTTGTTTGAATAAGAGAAATAAAATATAAAAATATAAATAATTTATCAAAATTGAGTAGTTATTATTTCAAAAATTAAAAAACTTAATTAGGAATATTTATCTACACATTTAATATAGCAAATAAAAAAGAAAAATGATCTTTTTTATGTTGATGTTGAATCTTATCTAAAAAAATTAAATAATTATCCTATCCAGTTTATCTATACTATAAGTGAACCATTCTCTTCTATTCTATCTAAATAATGATTTAAGTATTATCTTATTCAATCTTTTACAATGCATAAACTCAGAAATTCTTGTTCCTAAAGATACTATATTAAGATTTAGTTCTTAACTTTGGTAAATATGATTAAGAACATAATAACCTATTATAAAGTATGATTTTAGTTGTTAAATGATTAGTGAAAAAAAATAAACACATTTAGATATTATCTTATATTTTAATAATTATTTGAAAATTAAAATAAAGATAATATAATAATTTTATTTTTATTGATATAATTCATATCATTACTATCTCATATGATTAATAATTCAAATTCTTCTAATCCCAAAATACTAAATACTATCCATTATTGGTCATAGTTCCAAAAATAACATCATTTTAACAATTTAGTGATGTCATAATTTTAAATCTATCATTATTTAATTATCTAATTAGATAGATATGATGTTTATGTCTTACTAATAATATATTTTTTTCTTTATTGTAAATAATAGGGAAATATGCATCATCTTCACATTTGTTATTCATAATTAATTTGATACTTGCATCAATATTATATTTAAAGACTCCATTCTAATATTCTAACACTAAAATATCATCAATATACTCATTTTTTGTTACCCAAAGAAATTTTTAATCATTAATTACATGAATTTTACGTCCTTAATTTGCAACTGGTTATGTATATTTAAATTCCCATTTTCCTTATTGTCCTTTCTCCCATATAATAAAATGATCTAATCCACATGATATTAATAAAGTCTCAGATTCATTAAAACTAAATGACTTTACACTATTGCCATGGTTATTTAAAGAGTACTAGAAATTCAGCTCATTCTTAATAAAATCTACTTTCCAAACTTTAATTGAATGATCACAACCTCCTGATAATAATTGATCCTCATCTTAAGTTAAAATTAAACAATGAACTGTTCCACTATGTTATTAGAATTTCTATGAACACTTCCACTCTTTTTGATTAATTTATTACCAACAAAGGATAGTATGATCATGAGATCCAGAAATAAANATATAAATAATTTATCAAAATTGAGTAGTTATTATTTCAAAAATTAAAAAACTTAATTAGGAATATTTATCTACACATTTAATATAGCAAATAAAAAAGAAAAATGATCTTTTTTATGTTGATGTTGAATCTTATCTAAAAAAATTAAATAATTATCCTATCCAGTTTATCTATACTATAAGTGAACCATTCTCTTCTATTCTATCTAAATAATGATTTAAGTATTATCTTATTCAATCTTTTACAATGCATAAACTCAGAAATTCTTGTTCCTAAAGATACTATATTAAGATTTAGTTCTTAACTTTGGTAAATATGATTAAGAACATAATAACCTATTATAAAGTATGATTTTAGTTGTTAAATGATTAGTGAAAAAAAATAAACACATTTAGATATTATCTTATATTTTAATAATTATTTGAAAATTAAAATAAAGATAATATAATAATTTTATTTTTATTGATATAATTCATATCATTACTATCTCATATGATTAATAATTCAAATTCTTCTAATCCCAAAATACTAAATACTATCCATTATTGGTCATAGTTCCAAAAATAACATCATTTTAACAATTTAGTGATGTCATAATTTTAAATCTATCATTATTTAATTATCTAATTAGATAGATATGATGTTTATGTCTTACTAATAATATATTTTTTTCTTTATTGTAAATAATAGGGAAATATGCATCATCTTCACATTTGTTATTCATAATTAATTTGATACTTGCATCAATATTATATTTAAAGACTCCATTCTAATATTCTAACACTAAAATATCATCAATATACTCATTTTTTGTTACCCAAAGAAATTTTTAATCATTAATTACATGAATTTTACGTCCTTAATTTGCAACTGGTTATGTATATTTAAATTCCCATTTTCCTTATTGTCCTTTCTCCCATATAATAAAATGATCTAATCCACATGATATTAATAAAGTCTCAGATTCATTAAAACTAAATGACTTTACACTATTGCCATGGTTATTTAAAGAGTACTAGAAATTCAGCTCATTCTTAATAAAATCTACTTTCCAAACTTTAATTGAATGATCACAACCTCCTGATAATAATTGATCCTCATCTTAAGTTAAAATTAAACAATGAACTGTTCCACTATGTTATTAGAATTTCTATGAACACTTCCACTCTTTTTGATTAATTTATTACCAACAAAGGATAGTATGATCATGAGATCCAGAAATAAATGTATTTTTTATTTTGCTATACACTAAACATGTTACAGCCTTTGAATGTTCTTAATATGTATTAATTAATGATAATCTTCCTAAATTAAAATTCCAAATTTTAATCTCATTATTATTACATGAAACCATGATTGAACCAGTTTTATCAAAAACTATTGCAAAACAATACCCAATTTGTTTATTAGAATCATCAATTAATTTAATTTCTATTCCTTAATCTATCATTGATTATTATTCCAATTAATTTTATTATTATTCCTTATTTTCTTATTTTACCTCATTTTAATTCATAATATCATTCTACTAATTTCCTTTAAACATTATATTCTTTAATAGTTCTGAACAATTCTAAGTTTCTTAAAATTATTTAAATAAATATATTTTATTCATGATCTTATGAATCCATGATTAATTTATGAAATTTATTTAATTAACTATAGATTTCTAATCGAATTAATCAAATTTTGAATTTGTAATCAATATTTCTAATTCATCAAAGAAACTATATGCAAGGTGTTCTGATCCACATAATTGTATTTATTTAATCCATTCTTCTGCATTTCCAATCAATTAATTCAATTATTGAATAACACTAGATTTTAATTAATAAAGAGTATTTTGAAGTTATTGTAGCTGATTAATGGTTATCATTAACACATTCTCAATAGATTATTTTTTTAATTCTTGATTTACCTAAATATATTAAAGAGCTTTCTAAAAATTCATTAATTAGGTTTTTAAGTCTAAATGTTCCATACATTAAGAACATAAAAGTCTTTACTTTTTCTTTTTTTCTTCATCACAAGTAATCATTAAGACTGGAGCCTTATGATTCTAACAAAAAAAATCTTATTCTTTTTCTATCATTTTTAATTATAATATATTA